AATGTGTGTTAATTATGTTTTTCCCCGCATAAATGAGGATTATCTGTTAAATGTTTTATTTTGTATTAGGTGCAAATGTCAATTGTCAAGCCTTGGACAAAGCTACTCCCTTGTTCATTGCTGCTCAGGAGGGCCACACACGGTGTGTGGAGCTCTTGCTGTCCAGTGGGGCAGCTCCTGATCTTTACTGTAATGAGGACAGTTGGCAGTTACCTATTCATGCGGCTGCACAGATGGGCCACACAGAGTAAGTGTGAAAAATGGAAAATAAAAAAAATCTTATAATTAAAAGATTATAAGAAATAAGCCTTCTGGGCCAGACAGACCCTTTACCTCCAGACAAAACCCGTGGTATTCCTCCCTTCTCTACCAGTCCGCTCAGTGACTAGATCCACCCCCACATCTGTCCCTGGTGCCATCCCTGCTCCTCTTAGTCTTGCACTTTCCTAGTATAAGGCGGGCACAGGGGCTGGAAATGGGACAACCCCAGGGGCTTTCTCAGGGTAAGTCTTTGCCCTATTTCTCAAGCTATGGCCATACTCTTCTGCCAACTCTAGTTTTATCCTAGGCATCTTTAGTTCGCTATCTGATGGCCTTATTCAATTTATTTATGTTACCGTCCTGACTACAGAAAGCTTTTGAGATTGTGACCTCTGTTGGTGTACAGTCCTTCTTTTGTATGGTCTGGGTAGTTCTCCCATCTTGAACCCTTTGACTGGACTTTTTCTAATCTCAAGTCTAACTCTGTACTTTTCCCTGCTTCTGTTATTCTTCTTCCTTAACCAAAGGTTCCCATGAGATTTCTGGTATTTTCTGGAGAGAGAGAGACTAAAAGAAAGTTGGAACTACCTGAAATTGGAGGTTCCAGGAATCTTGGAAGCTAATAACCTGGTTATACCTATGAGAATATGGCAGCTTAACAAAAATTGACACTAAACAGTTTTTAAAAATACATGTTTAAAATCTTTAGAGTCATAATTCTACAATAATAACTTTATAGCTATTGTTAGTATTATTTAATTTAAAAAATAATAATGAAGTTGTCATTAGTATGTTTACATAGTAGGAAAACAGATTCTGCAATTTGGTCATTATGCCACTAGGTGGCACGGTATTTTACGGTTTCCTTAAAGATATTTGTAAGCATGTTTGTGACTTGTTGAAGAGTATAATTTTTCCAACCCATTTAAAAAAATTAAGCACACTTATTAAGTTTGAGACATTAAATTATTTTAACAAAATACTTAGGTTTTAAAATTTGGTATTTTTCTTAATTCTTGATTGTTTAAACATAAATCGTAGGTACAGTTATACTCTGAGCTTTAAATAGACACCAAAACTGTTTTGGGAATTTGTCCTCATTTATTCTCAATTTTGAGAATTCTGTAGTCATTGATGATTTCCTCCATAGACTACTTTCTGAGGTAAGTTCTGTGAGTGTAAGCTCTTCTTAAATACTGTTATCATCTTAGGCCTACCCTATATAGGAAAAGTAGCAAAGAGAAAGAATGTTATAAAGATACTTGAGGTAGCCTTGCCCTTTTTTTCCCAGAAAGAGGAGGGATTTCTTGGCTTGCATTATCCCTAGTTTTTTTTTTATTTTAGAAAAGTAGACTTGTTCTTTCTCTCTAGCTGACTGCTAGGGGTAAATTTACAAGTAACCCAAGAACATCTGTTTTAATGATTTTCTTTAGAACTTTCTCTACGTAGCAACCAATTTCTTTATGAATCTGTTTATAGCACTCATATATTCTTTTCAGAGAATAGAATATTTCAGCAGAAATTCTGATTTCTTCCTGATGAGAATACTGTTCACCTCATGTTACTCACCATCTTTAAAAAGTCTTATTAATTAGAAAAATAAAACTTTAGTTTGCACTTTAAGAAGGAAAATAATTTATTCTTGATACAGGTTTATAGTTGCTACAATGAAGTTTTAAATAATTGATTAGATCCTAAAATATCTAACAATTTGAATTTTGGGGAATAGGGTGATGGTAGTAAGGTAAATAGTGAAAAAATACAAAAGGACAACCTGTTACCTATTTACTTATAGGGACATTGTTTAATTCTGTTTTAGATATATTTAAGGACCTTCATATTAAGCAACAATAGTAGCTTAACATTTTGGAATATATAGCCTGTAATAATTTAATATAGGTAAAAGCTAAACTGAAGACAGAAACACTTTTATTAAATCAATGAATGGGTGACTCAATATATGTGCTGTAGAAATATTGTGTGCATTCATGTGCATATAAAAACATTAAATTCTCCTATATTTGTGTACTTGCAGAATCTTGGACTTGTTAATACCACTTACTAACCGGGTCTGTGACACTGGGCCAGACAAAGTGAGTCCTGTTTACTCAGCAGTGTTTGGAGGACACGAAGAGTGCCTGGAAATGTTACTCCAGCACGGCTACAGCCCAGATGCCCAGATGTGCCTCGTCTTTGGATTTAGTTCTCCCATGTGCATGGCTTTCCAAAAGGAGTATGTATATTTGCTATATGGAGATAGATGTGTTTCCAGCTGACTTTCTATTATGATGCAATAATAATATCTTAGTGCTAACTTGCTAACTTAAAAACAAAAAACAGACAAATAGGAAAAACCCTTTGTGATGAACCTTGTTCAGTAAAAATGAGATGATAACGTCAGATTTGTTTCCTTCCCTCTTTGATTCTGGATTACATTTTTAGGGTAGCAATTTTAGGGAATGCTTTCAGTGTATTAAATGAATGCAAGAATGCTCTGATATCCTTGGTCTTCAAAACAATTCAAGAATTAAAGCATACTTTCATTTTTATGATGAATAAGATCTAAGGATCTAATGTATAACATGGTGACTTATAGTTGATATATATAATTGAAATTTGCTAAGAGAGTAGAATTTAAATTCTTTCATTAAAAAAAAAAGGTAAATATGTGAGGTGATGGCTGTGTTAATCGGATTGGGGGAATCTTTTCACAATATGTACGTATGTGGAATCATCAAGTTGTACCCTTTAAGTATCCTACAGTCTTGTCAGTTACACCCCCGGAAAAGCTGCGGGGCAAAGAATGAAAAATGACTTTATCAAGTAAGGCATAGGCTGTGCTTCAGGTTACTTACTAATTAAAATTTATATTTACAAGACTTGTAATAAGCCTAAAAGTAAAACTTCAGTTTTGTAGATATTATTGTATTTTTAATGTATTTGGTACATAGCATTCTTTATGTGACTTAGAGTAATTAAATTAAAAAGTCTTAAAAATTTTTGTTTCGCTACTCGGCCACTATCCTATGGAGTTGAGTGAATGAAGAATTGCTGCTACTTCATTAGGCTCTGGCCAATACTTGTCTATAAGTCTCCTAAGGTTTTAAAATAGTAAGAATAGGGCTGTGTGTAAGAAAAGCCATATTGAGTAATACCTGTGGTCCATCTAATAATGGAATAAGCTGTGCAGATAAATGCTGTTGTTTTTAATGATGCAAAAGAGGCTGCTTGCAGTCATACCTCAAATTTCATTGGCTTTCCTGAATTTACTATTATGAATTTGTCCACAATTTAAACATTTACTAAAAACAACTTATTTACTAAGCTTTTCAGCCTCTACCGTCTCCTAATATTTGCTATGTAAAATACTTCATTTTGTAATATTCTGTATTTAAGCTTTCAGTTATATATTAGGGTTTGAATATTTGGGGGTTTAGTTAATCTGAGTATTGGAGATCCACTCTATGCATAACTTTCATGACTTCATAGAACTTTGTTGTAACTTCTCAAGTTTTATCTTTCTAAATACTTGAGTTTACCTTCAGAAAGGCATCGATGACTAGATGTTTCAGTTGTCTTTCTCCATACATCTCTAACTCCATTATATTTTATTATTAGGTCAGAACTGAATGTTTAAAAACTAGACCAGAACATATACTGATTTTAGGTAGTTTGTATGTGTGTGGGTCTGATACAATGATGTTTTTTTTTAACCTTTATTTTACCTGTTGGAGGAATGACATTTTTGGTCTTTCTGGTCGTAGTAGCTAAGCTAATGTCTTATGAGAGTAGTTTGAATTAAACCATATATCACAGTGTCCCTGTTAACCCTCTGAAATACCTTAATGTTTTCTCTGTCCTGAAGAATCAGGTAGCCTGTGGGACTGAGAGTATAAGGGGAACCCTGGAGAAGAGAGCTGGTAAAAGGGATCCCCTAATTCTGTGTATGAACCTGCATATGTCCCAAGCTCACTGCAAGCCTTGAATGCACAGGAGAGATTCAACTTGTTGAAAACAAGATTTAAACTGTCACCCAAGTCTTAATAGCAGATAATTGAAAGCACCTATTAAAATTGTGCTTTATGAGGTAAACACACTTGAAGTAAATGGAAAGGTGAAATTCTCAGCTGAGGAATAACTATAAAAAATAATCCAATTAAAATTTTATAACTGAAAAATATAATATCTGAAATGAAAACTCTCCATAGCAGAATGGAATTGATAGAGTCAATTAACTTGAAGATAGACAGATAGAAATTACCCAAACAGAAGAACAGAGAGAAAAAAGATTGGGAAAAACAAAAACAGAAAAAACCCAGAGAGCCTCAGGGACCTGAGGGACCATATCAGTGGTTTGATATTTATGTCATTCGAGTCCAGGAGAAGAGAAAGATTATCTAAACTAATAATGGCCCAAAACGTCCCAACATTGGATGAAGACATAAGTTTATAGATTTAGGAAGCTCAGTAAACTGATACAGGATAAAGTCAAAGAAAAGTATGCTCAAAAATAATCAAACTGCTGAAATCCAAAAGTGAAGAAGCAGCAGTGTGGTGTATAGTGGTTCTTGGTCACAGACATGAGCTAATGAGCTTTGGTTTTTGCTATTGGAATTTTGTTCTGTGAAGTGGCCATGTAGAGCATAGGGTCGCCTCACAGAGCAAAATTTGTTTTGGTGGCTTGAAAAGGGCTTATCAGGGCCGGCCGAGTGGCTCAGTTGGTTAAGAACTCGCTCAAGAGTTTGAGCTCTGAACAACAGCGGTTCAATCCCTGGCCCGAGCTGAGCTGCTGCTGAGCTGCCAACAGGTGGCAGGATGGCTCAGCTAAGAAAAAAGAAAAAAAAGGGCTTATCAGCCTATTTTCTTCCATGTGGGAACTTGTAATTGGACCAAATGTATTTTTTTTTTT